CTAATAATTTTGTACTTTTACTTGAGTAACATTTTAATACAGGACTTTTAGTGCTTCTTCTCTGTATACAATAGGCCTATCTAAAGCAGACATTATCATATGATGTGAATAATAGGATTCACATGGTGTCTCTCTTTCTTTGTGACCAGACCCACATTGTCCTGTCATCACCACAGATAAAATGTATGGGTCATCACGTCATCACATTACATTTTCAGCGGGGAGCAGCAGCGTGGGAGAGGGAAGCGGCAAACAGAGGGGGGTGCGGGTGGCATTTCCATTTCCCATGGCCGGCCAATCGCGACCGGCTGAGGAGATTTTGTGTATTTTCCAATCTCAACTGAACGGCCCTGGCTGGGTGGGGCTTCGGCGGGGGGAAGGAAGCGATGCATGTTGGGCGGGGGCCTGAATACACATCCTGTTTCACACAGACAGGATTTGTACAGTGGAAACGTGGCCCGGTTGAAGTTAGAGTTAAACAAAAGTCGGTATTTTTTGTCGAGTTGACTGTTGTTATCAAGGCGCTACAGAGAGATTTCCTCCTCCGAGAGATTAGTGGACGGTTTTCGTTAGTTGGTTCTTTGCCGTTGTTTCAGCCAGACTTCTGTTCAGCAAAGGTTTTGTATTAAGCTTACTGCGACCAAAGTTATTTAATTGACCACCTTTAAGTCGTCTTATCTTCCGGTCATTGCCTCTAGTGTTAAAGTTTGTACCGGTAGTCAGCATGTCAAACGCGGCCAGCGACACAGAAAAGTCCCCCTCCTTCGAGATGACCTGGGGCAGCTCCACCAGCAGCGGCTACTGCAGCGACGAGGAGCCCAACTCCGAGTTTGAGCAGTACTTCACCGCCAAGACATCCTTCTTCCCCAATACCCGGAAAGCTAACGTTACTGCTAAAGTAAAGCAGGTGAGAAATAGACAAAAATTCGACAAGAAAAAAAGGTTTAGGCTTGAATAAAAACTCTTAATGTTAAAGGGGAACTGAGACCAAAGGGATGGGTGATGGGTGGTTCTCCATATCTACTCTCGCGTTATTTTATATTTCTTCTCTCTTTCTAGCTATTTTTGTTTATTTTAAATATATAACTGTTCTCATACTTTTATGGGTCAAATCTGCGACTTTGTTTTGCTAATGGGCACCCCAGCAGACTGGATGCTTGCCTAGGGTGGAGTTCTGGTTTCTCCAGTTTTGAGGAAGCCTTGTATTGTGGGAACCTATAATAAATGTCAGCACTGGGAATAAGGAAAAATAAGTTGCTGTTTTAGGCTTAACATGCCTAAAAAACAAAACATTTATTGCATTTAGTTCTGTGTTGCACAGACCCACATTTGAACTCATACTGAGAACAACCCAAATGTCATGTTTAGTGACGCAGACCGGCTACTCAAGTTTCCAGTCTGACACCCACCATTCATTGACTATTCAGGTTTTTCATACTTATTTCTCAATTACATATGAGTCATGTGTTGTTTTGGAATTTTGTCCCCCGCACCCACTATCAGCTTTCTTTATTGAGGAACAAATGTTGTTTATTGCAAAACTCAGTGACATTCACAATTTTCTGTATCTGTACAGAAGCCATTTTTGTTTTAATGTTGTTGGCACTGACAACTCTTGTTTTGAGATGACACTCCTTTCGTGGGCATGTAGAGACAGTTTGTTCGTGCTTTTCCTCCTACTGTTGAAAGGCTCAACATGTCCCTAATTGATTTATTGACTTGTTAAAAACAGTATATTAACTCCACAGCCTTTCAATCAGCCTAAGGATTGCTCCTATTGATCTTTTTCTACTTGGACGTAGATTTTAAAAGCTACCCATCCCTGTAACAGCTTGCAACTGTGGTTGGTTTTACATGACACAATCCTGGGTCACAAAATGAGATGGGGGGGGCAGGGTGGCCTGAGATGCATTTTCACCATTTTCACTACTTGGGACACCCTTTTCACCTATTAACCACAAGGAATTATCTGGAGTACATTATGGAAAATTAATTTGTTTTATATCAATTCTGTAGAATTTCCCTCCCACACAGGAAATACCAATTGGTCAGTACAACGGTCATGTATGCTAAGGCCAAAATGTGCATGACTGAAACATGACTGCAATTGTGCGGTTGATGAGGCAGCTGACTTCACAGGATGTGCCTTTAAAACAAGGGAGGGCTTTGTCTCTCCCCCTTGTGTGAGTCGGAGAGTGGAGGCTATTTTTACATGAATACCAAGTCGAGGAATGCAATGCTGAACCGTTGTTCACAGACATTGCAAACAGCTGCAAGTTGAACCTACCCCTCCTTTCTCCGGCCCTATAGACCAACGAATTGGAGCAGTCCAACAGGATTGAGCAGAGCTGACATCATCGTTTTTGCCTTTGCTACGTTGACAGGAAGTTGAGAGTCTGATGCAACTGGTGTTCCCTCTTAGAAATAACGGGGACCTGACAAACTCAATTAACAGCTTTTACTAAAGTGTTTCTGTTTTTATTCCCCTTCAAATCAACATTTTGGATAGAACAACTTGTTTTAAACCGAATTTGGATCACACCCATTTTCCTTTCACATAATAGAGCCACACCTTCTAACCTTGTATAACCTGCCCTGGCTTCATGTAACAAGAACACCAATCGCAATTCCTGGAAAAAAACATACAATTTTTCTACAACAGTAGCATGTTGTAAAGAGAGTTTTTCAATGTTAACAATGGCCAGCAACACTTAAGTTAACACTTGTGTAAGTTATCAGTAATTTCTCAAATTTTTAAAGAGCATCACATTTTTTATTTAACAGTTGTGCAATGGCCATTTTAAGTGTCCATTTCTGTTCACGTGTATTGTGTAACGCTGGAGTCTTTCCTCTGTCCTCTTGTGGTTTGGATGGTCAGCACTGACACCTGGTGGTTTAACACTGTAACTCCTCACTGTCCTTTCCAGGATGAACAGATTGAATGGGGAAAGCAAGACTTGACGACAACAGATTTTCAGCAGAAGGTGAAGGAATACAACGCTCAAATCAACAGCAATCTGTTCATGAACATGGTAAGGGGCTTTGAGACACAGCATATCAATGAATTTCACTCTAAATGTGTTTTTTCTTTAGTGTAACATTTTCATTTTTCTTAACAGAACAAGGATGGTTCCTACACGGGCTTCATAAAGGTGCAGTTTAAGTTGGCACGACCTGTGTCAGTTACACCTCCAAAAAAAGGGGGTTCCGATGCTGGAGCGAGGAAGGCTAGTGGGGTGAAACGCCGCACGTCGTTCTACCTGCCAAAGGATGCTTCCAAGCACCTGCACATTAGCTCACGCACTTCTGCTCGGGAGGTCATCGAGGCTTTGTTGAAAAAGTTTACTGTGGTTGACAATCCTGGCAAGTTTGCCCTGTTTGAACGCAGCGAGCGTCATGACCAAGGTACTTCTGCTGCTTTCAAAAGGGTTACCTCTTGAAATCCTGCAGTATTTCATTATTGTAAATCAAAAATGGTACGCTGTCTAGTAAATGTAGCCCTTTGATCTGCCTCTTTCAGTTTATATTCGCAAGGTATCTGACAATGAGTGTCCCCTCCGCCTGCGTCTGTGTGCTGGGCCCAATGAGAAAGTCCTCAGCTATGTTCTGAAAGAAAATGAAACTGGAGAAGTCAATGTGAGTGTAACATCAGAGCCCCATGGATCTTAAAACATATTGGGGCGGGGTGTAATTGTTGTAATTGTTGTATTTTTGTAAAAAGGGATTAAACTCGTGTGGTTAGTTTAAAAACTGTACTCGCACTAATGCATTGTGTCTCTCTTTACAGTGGCATGCCTTCTCTATGCCCGAGTTGAAGAACTTCCAGCGTATGCTGCAGCGTGAAGAGGAGGAGCACGTGAAGCAGATCGTGCAGCGATACGCTCTGGCCCGCACTAAGATGCAGGACGCTCTGGCTGGTTCAACTCCCGGTTGAGGCGACTGCGCTCGGGGTTTAACATGCACCACTTGGCTGGCCTAAAGATGACCAATCATCGCTGCATCCAAAGATCCCAGATAATACAACTCAACACACCTCTTGGGTGAACGAGAGAGTGAAACAGGGCGCAAGACTGAGAGAGCTAGCGCGAATGTGCGTGTGAAGTGATGTGAGAGATGAGAAGTGCCTTACACCTGGAGAGCCTGATGTGCCTGAGAGAATGAGTTGAGAGAAGTCGATATTGGCAGATGAGACAGTGGTTGTTTCCAGTCATGTCTTTTGCTATTGGGAAAAATCTGATTATCCAGTGTACCTCAGCTGTGTCACTTAAACTTTAAAGAAAATGTCAATTAAGTTTCAGTCATTTAGGTAGAAAAAATCTGTTGATTATACATTTGTCGGTGCAGTGCTGAAGTCAAGAACTCTGCTGTAATTGATCTGATAATCCCGCATCTGGAAGTTACATTCCTTTTTATTTTTCCAGAATATAAAATTGGTAACATCATTATTTTAAGTTAAGATAAACTCAAGCAGGTCCTTAAACAATCATACTTCTTAACATCCATTGTGACATGTTTAATTTATCCAGTTAAAGAGGTAAATACCTTCTTTTTTTTTTGCTGCTGAAAGGTATCTGGATTTTCATTTGACCCAGGCTCAATAATCTGCCATGTCCTCTCGACACCCCTGATGGGTGCAACTCTATTTTTTATTTGAATGTCAAATTGTGAGTTTGACTGATGTATGGACATTTGTATGAAACTATGAATGTCAGTGGTGTCACTCTGGTTGACTGGAATCCTGTATGAACATTGGTATACATGTGTTTCACTGGTTTGTCATTCCCTATGTCTTTGCTTTTTTTCTGTCCTAGAAAATGTTTGTCTTCTATTTTTTCTTTCACTATTATTGTATTCGCCTATGCACATATTTACATGTTGAAGCTACACATCTAAATGTAGTGACCAATCTGCGTTCAGTAAAGAATTTCCAAGTTAAAACAAGTTTTTGTATTTAATCAAATATTAAATGAAGAAAAAAAGAAAGGAGAAAAAAATAGTTCTGTTATAAAAGCTATTTTAAAGACTATTTAAAAAGAATGACAATATTGACACAAAATATTTAAAGGGTAAGAAACTGAGTTTAGTAAAATATGACATGCTATATTCAAAGTGGAGAGCTGTGCAGATCTAGAACATTTGCCACATTTAACGTCCCTTAACTGAACACTGTTCAAAATGTAGAAATAGATTCAAATGAATTTTAATCCGATCACTATTTAGAATAACATCACTAAAATGATAATGACGTTTCGCTTTAAGAGTCTCACTGCCGTCTGTCAGATCAGCTGATCTCATCGACCTAAACAGCTAACGCTAGCTCAACGTAGCCGGTGTGGAACATTATGAAAGAACATGGCGATTTAATACCACACGATAAGGTAGGATATTGACGAAAAGAATGACATTGAAAACGAATCGTGTTTGGTTGTGTAGGGCAGATACATCGCTGTGTTTGTCTAATAAACATCGCTGCTCCGTCTAGCTATTTATCATTTAGCAAACCTGCGTCAGTGGCACAGGCTAACAGGCTAAGTCACCTAAACAAACGGGTAAACTAAGCTACAGTTAGCTACACAATATTAGCCACACTGATCGTATATCAAGAGGGCAGTTAACTAAGACATATACTGTGCATTATATGTATAATAGCGGTAAAGTGTACACGTCAATGTGGCAATATAACAAACATGAATAATTGACCGTTTGGGATTATGGTTCAGTAGTCGTATGGCCCAGTGTTAGCTTCACGTAAAACTAGCAGAACGTAAAAATATCACGTTAGCGTTACATTTCCTCGACGCTCTGCTTATGTTTCGTACTTTCGTCGTAGTAATATTAGGAACAGTGTCATCATCTTTGATTAAATTGTGCCTCTGAATTGAACTGGCTTCTTCTTCAGGGTAAAATAGCAATTGTATTTACTGCGTTAGATGTTGTTTATTATAACTATTAATCAACAAATATCATGCTAGTTCACAGTCTCTTAGTGCTTTACATTACGCAGCAACACCAGGGAGAGAGAGTCAAGTCTGCCTGGGAATGTGTTCTTTCAATGTGCACTTTTTATTTTCAGATCCTGGCTTTGGTAAGGAATTGAGAGCTTCTGGCCACCAACCAGATTGAAAGCTTTAATTGATAACTAAGTATGTATTATCATTGAGAATGGGAGGAAGTGGATCCAAAGCCAAAGGTGTCTGGCCTTTCTCAGGCAATGGAGCTGGAGGGGAGGCAGCCAGTGATGGGACCGAGCAGTCTGTGACCCGCCTCAAAGCTTCCAGAAATGCAACCCCGTTTATTTTCACCAGGAGGAGGTAAATACAAATAATTGGATAATGGTTGTTTCATCCAAATAAAGGAATTAAGACCACGCTGAAGCATGTGGGTTATATTGTGCCTCAGAAGTAGGTAGTTAATTGTTTTAGCCTAATTCTTCCACAGTGAGGCAATTACAGGGAGTAGATGGCAGAGCTCAATAAACCTTTTAAAAATAAGATCAATAGTTAAAGGTCCTGTGTATAGGATTAAGTGGAATATGGCAACAAGGTTGCTGATTGCAACTAACTAAAACACTTACCACCCTTGTAAACCAGATTCTAAAAAAAAAAGGGCGAAAGCCTCTCTTGAACCAGTTTGGTTTATTGTTTTTTGGGCTACTGTAGAAACATGGCAGTGGAACATTATAGACACCGCTCTAAAGTAACGAGACAACAACAATTCTTAGTTTCAGGCAATTGTAAACCAATGAAAAAATGTATGAATGCTTATTTTCTCTTTTCTGTTTATACATTACATGCCCCTAAATCTTACCCACTGGTCTTTAAAAAAATTGAAGTGCATAGTATCAGCAAGAAATGGTGCATAAGTCAGCAGTAGGAAGTGGGGATAGGAATCTCAAGATCTGCACGTTACATTTGGCTGGATGCCACTGGTTTTTAGTGAAAGTATTTTAGTTTTAACTTGACAAGTTCTCTCTTGCTATTGACACTGATCTGTACTTGCTGTGTTGGCAGTTCTTTGTACTACGACGAAGACGGTGACCTTGCCCATGAATTCTATGAAGAGACGGTTGTGACAAAAAATGGCAGGAAAAAGTCCAAGTTGAAGAGGATCCAGAAAAATCTGATTCCACAGGTGAGATAAAGCCACATTTTGACAAATGATGGTCTGGTTAAAGATGTTTCAAACGATTTGTCAATGAATGTCCTATCTTTATTTTTTAGGGAATGGTGAAGCTGGACCACCCATGTATTCATGTAGATTTCCCCATCATCATCTGTGAGGTGTGAAGTTGCACAGGACTGATCTACTATGAAGTGCAGCCACAGGTTCTCTATTTGGAGCAAAGTCTGGTCCCAGTGTTCAAGCATTACACTCAAGACGAGTTGTCTCTGGAGAGAAAAAAGAAAAATCCAACTGATATATTGAATGAAATGTCATACATTTTTATTCAACTAAGATCAGACGGTGCCCTGTTCACAAAATCAATATTTTGATATCCACTAAAGTAGTGTTGGTACAGGTTGTGTGTCCACTACCCAGCTGATATGTAGGCAGTCTATACAATACATCAAATGGAGCTGTATTTTTCTTGTGAGTTCTTTGCAGGGAATAACATCCTCGATTTGAAAAGGCTTTAACGTTTTATGCCTTCTGTGGGACATAGAGTGAGTGTCTTTGTACGTGTACATGTGTGCACTTAGGTTTGTTTGAAGGAATGTGTGTGACAGAAAAACTGAGGATGTAGTTACAGGGTAGAATAATTAAGGTTTGTGAAATGTATTGTATATATGGTCATGTTCTGTATTGTCATGTCTGAGTCTGTCTCAGTAACCGGAGCTCAGACCTGCACTAGTGAACATAATGTACTGTAAATAATATCAGATTTCTTAGTTGGAATTACTTGAATAAATGGTTTACTGAGCGAAATATCTGGAGTAAATATGTTTTCTATCATGTTTGTCATTGCCTAATTGTATTATTGAGATATGTCCAACTACACAAAACAACATTTGATCTCATGGTTTCATTAACTTCTTTCTTAAGGTAAAAATTGATTCTATGGTAGAGAGAAGGGGGTAGAAGATATCTCAACATTTTGGGAGTTGTTTCCTTGCCAACACCTATTTGCAAGTGGTATTGATTCTTATCTAACTCACAGCTAAAACAGTATTACAAAAACTATCCCTTGTCATCCATTGTACTTGTCAATAGCTATAGAAACAACGCTCAGTTTTATGATGAAAAACTAATGATGTACTCGGTACAATAATTTTTGTTTACTAAAAGTGAATGAACAAGTTAAAATTGCATTCAATCAAGTGGTCACATTTAAAAATGTAGGAGGCTATTCATACACTTCCATGACAGCTGTAAGTATAACCCTGATCTCTCATAACTTATTTTTAGCTTTTACTCATTGCCTTTTTAAATGTCGGTGCTTACTGAGCTGTAAAGCGGCTGTTTGCAAATAAGGCACTTTTTTTTGCCTACTTGTTTTGCAAATATGGAGATATAACCTTGTAATATAATTAGTTTACACTTAAGTAGCATGTAAGGTATGCCAACTCTAGATGGCAGCAGAAACCTTTACCTGTACTGACAAAAATGAGTTCCTGCGTGAATATGCTTGTAGGTTTACTCTCTTGCCTCTAATGATATTGCTGTGCAGTTAGACTTCCCGAAAAGGCTGAAGATATAATTAAAGGTTTTTAACTCAAACCAGTTGAGGCTGTTGTTGCCAGCTGGCGCAATATCAAATTTTAATAGCAATGTAAACATATTTCAGTGCATAGCAGACAAATCCCCACAATAACTGGGTAGGGTTTCCTTTGCATGCATTCCCTGGTGTCTGTAATTGTGTGGAATGTGGTTGGGTGTGTTTTGGGGCCAGAGGTCAGTCACTTTGATGTGTTTCCCCTCCAGTGGTCTTTGATGTGTTGCTTAAAGTCCGGCTTGTATTATGAGGATGAGCCCCTTCTTGTAAAGACTTTAAAATGTATGAACTTTATGAATGTGATACTGTCCAGCTCTGTTGATCCATACAATGTGTTCTCGGATACAGTGTGTTTTATGAAAGGGATAACTTGTCCATGTGGCTTTGGTTTAGAGAGATAATGATTATAAATGATCAGCAGCCTTTAAAAATAACTAAAAATGCCTTGAATTATAAACAAGAGAGATCCATTTTTCTCAGTGACACTTAACATACAGTATTCAATCTATTTAAAGTAAAACAGCAGTGCTTCGTGTAGCCTGTTTTTTCTCTATTCACAGTTGGATCATGCAACTGAGAGGGATCAAACACAGTGGATTGAACTGAAAGAGTACTGTAAAAAAAAGTTTGGTGACTTTCTGTGTATCTAAACGAAACAGTAATCCACATGAATGGAGGTTTAGGTTTACAAGTACACAAGGGTAAACTTGTATTGGGGTCAAACCAAATTGTTCCAATGAAGTTCTTCAATCCCTCTTAAACAAGTCACTATTACTCAAATGATAAATGTTCGGGACACAAAGTGAAGGTGGCAGGGCGTGCTTCGAGTTTCCCTGCCATTGTTTTTGCTTCCTGGCGGTCCCTGACTTCTGCTTATGTAACACTCAGGAGGCAGAGGTCAAAGGCAAGCTGAGACATGAGGGAAACGGAGCCATTCCTTTGTTCCTTCACATGGGTCGTTCATTCTGCACTTTCCCTAAACACACAGAAACTGATGACATGGTGAAATGAGTCAGCAAAGCTTGGAAAACAAACAGCGGAACTGACTCGAGCACAGGAAAACATCTCACTTCCAGGCCCTCACCTCACCCCATCATGTGCTCAGGGATCCTTCAGTTCATGTGTCTCTGCAAAGAACAACTCTGAGAGGAACATGGTTTTCAAAACGTTATTGAAAGAAACACTTGACAACATGAAAACAGGTGGTTACATTTGGTTAATTATGTGTCAGTGCGAGGCCTCTTTCTCCCATAGCCATCGTGCCTCAGGTCTTACCCCGGGCTCTGCACCGTCCTATCAGCTGTACTTGGCAACGAGTTGGCATGTGATACTTGGTTTTTCTCACTGAACCTTTGCCAGTGGCTGTCATCACATGCCTCTGGCAACAGAAACATCTGCATGCCAGAAGCGTTGTGCCCACTGTCTGAAGTGTAATGCTGGGAACATTAGTGGAAAAAACATTAAAGCCACTTCACTCACAAAGCAAAGAAGCAGAAGTATTTGATGTAAATTAACAAAAGCTGTATTCAGAATGTTTATTTTTTACTTTTCTGGAAAGGACTCAGCTCATACTGACAAGTTACTGATGCAATAATGCGTGTGTTGTGGTGTAATTTCAGGAAGTACATTCATTCATTTCGATTTACATAATTGCTAGTTTAATGCTTTATACATTACAATGATGAACATTTATATTTTTCAGTATACTATTGACTAAACAGCCAAACAGAATACAGTAATAAGTAATTCAATATTAATAGACATTGCCTAGTACAATTATAAAACGTACTGTCAACAAGTTCTGCATAATACTCTTTTTCAACGTAAACTTGTGATGATTTGTATGTTGTTGCAACTTAAATCCCCCAAATCCGACTTAAACTTAAACTAAAAACTATTTTTGAATTTTAATCACGCATCAGATTGTTTTGGGCTCAGGTTCCAAGGTCTTTAAGACAATGTTTGTTTTTAAATAATGTTCATAATCTACATTATGGATTCATACACAAATAGACTTTCAGCTATAATGAGAAGAATGTATAATTTATTTGAAAGCTATTTTGGAGTTGTGTGCTATTCTTACTGGTTGAAAGTGGGTGAATTAAAGCTAGTTTTCAGTTGTTTTAATGGCCAAAATTCACGTCATATTAGAATAAAGTCTTCCTATACTTTACATACTATTGATAAGCTATATCTAATTGTAATATAGCTGAAAGGTCACGGAATACAGTGGTCATTTCATTTGTGGGCATGATCTTATTTTTAGGGATGTGGCAAACTGGCCCCCTGCGACCTTAGAGTCTTGACATTGCTCTTTACAGTGTATCTGTTTCACGGCGGAGGAGGCTAACTTCTTGGACTAATTCATTCTCGGATACAGTAAATATCTTTCAAATCGCCATCAAACTACATCCTACGGTCACTAATCTCATCCCTACATTTATGTGTAGGCTTGTGGTAAAGAAACACGTCGCTGTAACACATTAGACACGCGGACGGAGTTGTTGGGAGGTCCGGTTTGGTTTTGCCTTTCCCCCCCTTTTTGCGACATGAATGGTACATCCTAAAAGTGGTTTGGCTCGCAGAGTAGCAACTGACAACATCGCAGGGGGCAACTTCACTTTACTTTACCGACCAACACAAGTTGTGGGACACCGACCAGCAACGCGTGCTGTTGTAACTTCACCCCGTCGTCTTTTATTCCTCAAAAGCAATGCAAAATAACTTTTCCTATTAGTTTTGAGGCAACATAGAAAAGTAGCGGCTTGAAGTAGTAGGCTTCTGTTTTTTTGGGAATGCTTCCTCAGCCTGCCTGTAAAGGTAAGTGTGTCCCGCTGCAGTGAGACTTTACTTTGTTGTTGACTTCACGTCATTCATTGCTTAGAAAATGCTCAAAATGCCAAATAATTGAAACTAGTTTATGTTCACTACAGAATAATAACGTTTTGGGAGACTTTAGGAATCTGCAGAAAAAACTATGGGACATTATTTAGATTTTGTATCATTATTTATTTTGGCTTTGTTTTATTTAATAGCATTTATTATACTATGATGCACAATAGCAGTAAAACATCACTGTACTTTCAGGTTTTTAATGTATAAGCATTAGCCAACTGATAACTATATACATTAATAAGCAGGGAATTGTTGCATTTATTAGAAAAGTAAACAAAATGTAATTCCTTCTGTGATTTTTTGCCGGTTCATTGTAATTTCTGGCTCTAAATTTTAAACAGTCCAATAAAAAATGCTTTATATAACCTTTTGAATTACTAACCTAATAAAGGAATGTACTGAGGACTGCCACTGATTTAAATAATAACAATAATAATAATAAAAACTAAACATCTTTCTCCTCTGTGATTTATAGAGCAGAAAGCAACAGTCCTATCTGTCAATTCCCATCTGAAGACATGTTGTACTGGACTCTGCCTGACTGGAAAGTGCTGCTTCTGACTGTGCTGCTCTGGGACTGCCTTTGTGCTTTGGGACTGAAGCCAACGAGATGGCCACTATATTCTAAAAAGCCTTTGCTCCTCGCTTGGAATGCCCCGACTGAGGACTGTGGCCCGAGGCATGGTATACGCTTTCAGTTGGATAAATTCCAAATCGTGGCCTCACCCAATGAGGGCTTTGTTCGGCAGAACCTCACCATCTTCTATAAAGATCGCTTGGGCTCGTACCCATACTTCAAGCCAGATGAAACAGTGGTGAATGGGGGGCTGCCGCAGGTGGCCAGTCTCACTCAGCACCTGGAGAAGATGCCTGAGGGAGTGCAGAAGTATATACGGGAACCAGGGGCCAAGGGCCTGGCAGTTATTGATTGGGAGGCCTGGCGCCCACTCTGGGTACGTAACTGGGAAACAAAAGATGTTTACCGCAGACATTCTCGTGAGTTGGTGCGTCAGAAGAACCCAACATGGCCTCCAGAACAGGTGAGCAAAGTGGCCCAGCAGGAATTTGAGATGTCTGCCAGGAAGTTCATGCTGGAAACCCTGAGGCACGCCAAGAGCCTGAGGCCCAACCAGCTGTGGGGGTTCTACCTGTTCCCTGACTGCTACAATCACGACTACAGGCGCACTCTGGAGAACTACACGGGCCGCTGTCCTGACGTGGAGGTGGCCCGCAACGAGCAGCTGAAGTGGTTGTGGACTGAAAGCACCGCCCTCTTCCCCTCCATCTACATGGCCCCTGTGCTGCGTTCCTCGGACTCCGGACGGAAGTTTGTCCGGAACCGTATAAAGGAGGGGATGCGTTTGGCATCATCAGGCGATGGGTTGGCACGTCCTGTCTTTGTGTACACCCAGCCCACATACAGCAACTCCCTGGAGCAGCTAACAGAGGTGAAGCTCTAACTCTAGAAACTCTAACACTCGTTAATTTCTGTTTGTCTTTCTGAAACTTTTTTTTACCCTTCTGGTGAAGTTTGAAATATCCAAATCAACACATTAAACACAGAAAAAACGCAAATTAATGACTAAAAAGCCAACCGAGGCTCAGTGGTGTGAAGATTTTTGTGAAGTGAAATGATCAGTTATTAAATCGGCACAGTGCCTTGATAAACAGGTTATTACCGTTTTTAGAGTATTGCTAAAAAAATGCATATTGAGTCTCCTTAAGATAACCTTTCTAAGGTTTTGCTGAGGTGGCTCAGTCATGTATGATAATGCACATTTGGGATATGGAGTTTTCCTGCTCTGAGATGAACTCCCAGTCACAACTCTCTCTCTCTGATCAGTGCGTGCTCAATGGAGCTTTAGCTCTGCTTTTCCTTATCGGCAGCAGCAGTCCTTTCCTGTTCTGGTAGCTGACAGACTCCCCAATACCTCTCATTTATGTGGAGTGGGCAGGATGGGTGTTGCTCAAGTTGAAAATCTCGCTTACACCCTATAGACCATTTCCTTATGGAAGAATGAACAGATAAGTGCTGCTGCTGCACTTCTCAGTTCACACACAGTAGCTCATGGCCCACTAACATTTTGACCCTGTTATACTGATACTGCACAGTGTATTTTTCTTAGTCTTAGAAAAGTAAAAGGTTGAATTTGATAGGCGTTTGAAATGCTGTATCATCTTTTACAGACTGACCTCGTCTCCACCATTGGGGAGAGCGTGGCTTTGGGAGCAGCTGGAATCATCATGTGGGGAGATGCAGCGTATGCAAGCAGCAAAGTAAGTGTCCATGTGCTAATCATAAATCATGAATCACTCAGACACTACTTACAACACTGACCATAAACACGGTCATCTGGTAAGTTGATAAGTCATTATGCGCAGTCAGTTGATAGATAACATCTATTCCTCAGGCTTCAGTTCAAAGGGGGTCACGTGGACGTCTGAAGATAGGCAGGCAACACAGGAGATAGTTCTATTTTCTTTAAAGTCACATTTATGCTGCGAAATTTAAAATTAGCTATGAACAGTGCATATTTCACAGTCATACTGATGAAAAAGAGGAAATGAACATGGCCGATTCACAGTCTTTAAAAAGAAGATCAGAATGATCCACAGTGAATGGTGACACACTTGGTAACAATCTGAAGACAAACAGGCATTCATTGGAGAAAAATGTCTTTATTATACTTAAATGATGACAAATGCATGTTTTTTTTTGCAGCAGCAATTCAGCAGGGTCACACACACACACACATCTTTTGATATTAATTGATATATTTTTCATCCATCTTACATTTTTGTATGGTGTATAAGTAATACATAGAATAGGAACTGCATATTTTCTTTTTATACAGTGAAATTGCATTGTGTTTTTTCCTTGTTGGCCTCTATTTTGGATAAATTAGCACATCCTACACTGGTTGTGATCAGGTGCCATGTAATTGATATGTTCTGTTTAGATTCAGGCTCTTTTTTTATTCTAAAAGAAAATCTTTTGGATCCCTTCTAAGGCAGTTTGTCCTGAACCATGTGCAGCAGTTACACAGCCCATTTAATAGATAAGATTTGTAGCTCACAAAAAAGGGAAACTCAATGGCCCTAAGTACCTCATAACAATATTTCTATTTATAAAGGATTAATCAAGTATTGTACTTTCTAGAAATATTATGATTAATTGAACATCCATCAATCACCAACACTCATCTTATTGTTTCTTTTTATTAGCATAATACAACAATTTTGCACAGTGAGAAATGTTACTTTTGATACTTAGATATATTTTGACGATTATGCTCATGCACTTTAACCTAAGTACAATTTAGAATGGGGTAAATAGTAGTTGTAACAGAGTATGTGTACACAGTCTTATTACCTACTCCACATAAGTAAAGAACACTTTTACCGCTAATAAATGTTACACTGAAAGCTGTTAACATATCTTTAAAAGTCACAAAGGATCCCGTCACACTCTGTGATGAATGTAGAAAAACAGGCAGGTTTGGTGCTAAAGGTCAGCAGTGCAGACGTGGCCTCGGTGAGTGATGGATGTTTTTTTTCTTTCTTTTTCTTCTTCAGAATAGCTGCTCTGACCTGGACGCCTATCTCCGGGGTCCGCTGGGTCAATACCTCCTCAACGTCTCCACGGCAGCAGAGTTATGCAGCCAGACCTTGTGTGGTTCTCACGGCCGCTGCCTGCGCAAAAATCCAGACAGCGATGTTTACTTGCATCTGGACCCCGTCAGCAACGCTAGCGCCACAAAGAGCGGCAGTCTGAAGGGCAGCTTGGAAAAGACCACTTTACAAACCCAGTTTCAGTGCCAGTGCTTCAGCGGCTATCAGGGGGAGGGCTGCGATCAGATAGACCCTCTACACCAAAGAGGGACGGCGTCTCAAATGATGGCGTCAGCTCTGCAATGTGCCATCTTACTGATTATCTCTCAGCTCCTCTGTTAATACACCAAACATACTGTAGACATGGTTGCATTTTCTTTTGTCTAAATACTGTAGCGTATGAGATGAGAAGGTGGGAATCTAGAGAGGAGAAATTGTAATTTTTTAAAATCTTTTTTCAGTTGCTGTAAAATATGGATGACAAAGTTTTGTGAAAAACACTGTGGAAAGAATTTTAAATCAGTTTTTAAACAATGGAGACCTTGCATGAAATGTACTTACATTTCGCTCTCAGTTTCCTCTCGGTTACTGTTTCAAAGTGTCAAATTTCATGTTTTAGGTGGAAATGTGATGAATTAGTTGATGTATGTCAGAAGTAATGTGGTGAAAGTGGAATTTATGCACTTAAATCTGGTAATAGCGCAATATGTATTCAAAGTGCCTTATCTTTTTTAAACATGATTTTTCTCTGACATCTGATCTTTTTTATGGTGGCAACTACAGTGTTATTATTTATTTGAATGTATGTTTAGGTGTTCTATATGAGTTTTTCTTTATATGAAGTATAGTGTCCAAAACATGACTACTAGTTTTATCCTAAAACAGTATTTTTGTATTTTAGCAGCTAGAAGCACAATGTAAAAAGAAAATGTCCGACAATTTATATGTTCCACAATTTCACGTACATGACCGCTTCTTTCTTTGTGATGTTTTCTAAAAATGTGACTTGTCTAAGAAAATAAATGTATTTGTTACGGCCTATTTTGAATTTCTTTCAAGATTTACAGGACACAATAAGAAGGGCAGAGTAAACAGAACATTTGGTTTCCGATAATGCAGGAGTGCTTCTGCTGTTTGTAGCCAATAAAAGTGAGGCTCCAGGGGGGAGACATGTCATCACTGTCCACTGAGGGGAGGCAAAGCCAGCGAGTCCTCAGGGAGGGACTCATTTGCAGGCTGCTGCCTCATACCCCCTCCCCATGTAATTGCAGGGTGCCGTTAAACCAAGAGTTATTTTTACTAGTTTTAAGAGCTGTGCAAGGCATATATTACATTTGCAGGGTAACAAGTTCATTATGGCTTGCTTGAAATCCATTTGAAGTCAAACTTAATTGCCCTTCGAGGTCAAATCTCTTTAGTAAACTGTTAATTAAAAATAATAGTCACTTAGATTTTACTAAAACAAAAATACTTTATGAAAGGCAGAATAGGAAGTTTTAACTTGCCTGTGACTTTAAATCTGCTCCTTTAAATTATCTGCATGTCTCTTGTGATTGGCTGTTCGAGATTCTTTGCACACCTCTGATTGGTTGTTTCTGGTTCATAGAGGCACTTCTGCTTTGCTCCTTCCCCTTTTCATGCATTCAGATCATGAGACTTCTGGTTGCTGTTCCCTGCTCTTCCAGACCACAAAGTACTAACAAAAAAAACCTTTTCCAGTTGTAAGATAGGTAAGTGTCTGTTTGTCATTTTGTCCTAAATCCTTTCTTTTCCTCCACTACATAACATTATGGTCGGTTACTTTTGTCAACTTTAGCTACTTTAGCAACACCACAACAACATTTGAGGTTTTCTGGGAAGTAGAACAGGATTAGCATTAAGACAGAGAAAAAACACCAAGTTGACAAAGTTTGGTCAAAAACTAAAAAAGTAAATGAAAATTCGAATTTGCTTAAAATGTTGATGCTTGAGACTCTAGTTATCTCCCAACATATAACCAACCACAACCAAAAAGTATGAAGATAACAATTTCGCAATATCACAGTATTACAACACAGTGGAGTGATCTAAACAGTGCTGTCTTTTCCTTCTCTGCAGGGATGAGTTCCTTTCATCACGAGGTGTTGCTTTTCTTAAATCTGTTCAGCCTAGTGTCAGGGCTGCAGTTTGCCACAGAAGAGCCTTTCCTCACGGTGTGGAACGCCCCCACTGCCAGCTGTCTCTCACAATATGGCATTGACCTCGATTTGGGCACGTTCAGCATTGTCCAGAACCAGAACCAGACATTTATAGGTGGAAACATTACAATATTTTACTCTGAAAAGCTTGGTCTGTATCCCAGGTACAATGACAATGCAGAGGCTATCAATGGCGGGGTACCTCAGAACGCCAGTCTGGACAAACACCTCAGGGTGGCCTCTGAAGATATCCACGCCTGGATCCCTGACAGGGATTTCCAGGGCCTGGCTGTGGTGGACTGGGAGAGCTGGAGACCAGTTTGGGAGAGAAACTGGGACAGTAAGCAGGTGTACTGGGCGGGCTCAAGAGCACTAGTGAAGTCCAGACATCCAGACTGGAGTCCTGCAGAGATAGAGGCCGCAGCCCGGGGGGAGTTTGAGGAAGGTGGGAGGAAGTTCATGGAGGAAACATTAAAGCTGGGGCAGCAGGAGAGACCAAATGGGCTGTGGGGCTTTTACGGTTTCCCCAACTGCTACAACTACTACAGCGACAGAAGCAGGAACTACACAGGCGAGTGTCCACCTGTGGAGCTGAAGAGGAACGACCATCTGATGTGGCTGTGGAACGTCTCCTCCGCTCTTTACCCCGACATCTACCTCAGCCTGCAGCTGCGAGACCTGAGCAGAGAAGTGCTCCTCTACACCCACCACCGCATCCTGGAGGCCATGAGAGCTCCATCAGCACCACCTGTGTTCCCCTACGCTCGCATCGTCTACACATACACGTTAGATTTCCTCTCTCAGGCAAGTGGCCGATGTTTTAATTAAACTCATTGTGGGATTGTCGTGATTTGGTTCTGATTGTTCTGCATGCTTTTTCCATACTGCAGGAACATCTGGTCTACACCGTCGGAGAGAGCGCTGCTTTAGGATCTGCAGGGGTGGTGCTGTGGGGCGACCATACCTTCTCCAAATCTCAGGTACAGTGACTCACACGGTAACCATTCACACAGTATGTCTGGGTACATGTTTTGTGTTTATGGTCATTCATATTTCTCATGTAAATCTTACATTGATCAGGAGCACTCAAAAGTGTTTTGTATTTACTGCTCGATAGACAATGGTGATTTTGTTTTGTTTTTACTTAGTGTCTCTATGGTTATTTTAAAAGTCACTGACTAATGGTTTCCAAACCAGAAATAACCTCAGACATCATGACGAAAGAGGCAAGATAGCCAAAGGAAATCATGAAGACAAAACTGGAAAAGAGCTTTACGACATGTTTGAACTTTGATAGTGTGTGTTCTTGCTTAGACAATTTAAAAAGTACCTTGATGCTTTCAGTGATCTTTATCATTAGCTCCTTTCTCAGAGGTTAAAATAAAAACACATTTGAATTAAGGCTTCTTTTATTGTGTTGTAACTTTCTGGTCCTTTAGCTAATGTCTTAGAAAGTGTTAAACTAGAAGAACATCTAGTATTATTTTATATCTCATTTACTGTCAGCAAATCCCATCATGGAAACTTATACTGAACACCTTCAAATAAGTTCAATTATTTTTATTCAAAAACAGTTTAAAAGCACTATTGCAATCATAGGAAATAATCCAAAGCTTCAGAGTAGAGTTTAATTTACTGTCAGATATATTAATGACACATCTATATATTTGAGAGGGTTCGTGTTAAAACAGAAACATTTCCAAGTTAAAAACACCAAACAATAACCAAACACCCTAAAAACTAAACCAGGGTGTCCGCGGGGAAGAGGCGATGAGGTCTTCAAATGTATGGAAAGGGTCTTAAAAAAGGTCTTAAAAGGTATTACATTTGACTTCAGGATTCCTGCAAATACCATGTAAACTGATCCAACCCTCACTACTCATTCATACACCTCTTAACAAATATCTAGTTTAATAGAATTTCCCAAACATACTGTGACATTTGACCCGTTTTAAATGTGATGCTCTTTTATGAGCAGAGGCTCATATGTGTTGAAGTTCTCTCTTTTTCAAATCAATACTAATGTGTTAAGTTGTGTGAATGGTTTATGTATGTCTCTCTTATTTCTTTCCTCCTTTTAGGCTACTTGTGAGGCTGTCAAATTGTACATGGACCAGACTCTGGGTCCTTACCTGGTGAACGTCACGGCGGCTGCCACTCTCTGCAGCCGGACCATGTGCTCCTCTCAGGGAAGATGCCAGAGGAGGAACTCAGAATCAAGGGCCTACCTCCACCTGGACCCTGCCGTGTGGAAGGTGGTGTTTGAGAAGAGTCCACGGGGACGGCAGAACTACAGAGTCTTAGGACAGATGAAAAAACACGAGGTCAAATTCATGAAGTCTGAGTTTCGGTGCAAGTGCTACCCTGGATGGGGCGGGGAGAGCTGCTCCAAACGAAAGCAAGGATAACAGACTTTCCTTAACGGAGTTTCAAGGACTGTATTGTATCATAAATGGCATTCAAGTCTTTAAATCGTGTCAAAATGAACCACTCCATGGGTAGAATGGCCTCATTCTTTCTTTACAATTCACCTTTTTTACATTTCCCTTGATTTTCATCACTTGGATGTTTGAGCCTCAGTGCACAAAATAATTTATGCGCAGTGTTCGTCGCTCGAAAACCGTTTACACATCTGACTTTAAACGATTTGTACATGCAGGATCTTGGGTGATGTGGAAAACCGGAACCATCCAGTGCACAAAACCTGAGAATGGAATTATGGATGCAGTGAAGAAGGAGACATATTATGTAGTACCACATGCTACTTTATACTCTTACTGCAATACATTCCAGTGGGAAATATTGTACATTTTAATCATTGTTTTTTCAGTGGAAGCTTTTAGTTGCTTTAAAGATAAGGGCTTTAAAATGATTCATCAATTAATACAAATGTATCAACCAAGGGAAATATGATTTATTGCAAGAGATTACTGATTGCATAAACACATTTAAAAGCTGCTTGCAAATTAACAGCACAATATATGATGGGACTTTCTGGATTATAAGGATTTTTTTTCTTGATACTTTAAGTACATTTGACTGATGATACTTTTGAACTTTTGCTTATTGGCTTGTATGCATATTTATTGAAATAACCTTATGATGGGACTTACTTGAGTAAAACAACTTGCCTACAATAAGTTTTTGCTGTGGCTTTCATATTAAATATTTGTGTGAAAGTTTCTGACCAGCAGGTGGCGCTGTGGGACATCTAACTGGCAGAGATTCATGAGACATCAAGGTCAGAGCTCTGGGTGTAATCACAAGGAGAGTCAAATCAGTGTAGGGGAAACAAAATAATTGACTCAGTAGATCCGCTTCTTCTGACTATATGCTCCAACTCTTCAGCCGCCGCAGCGTCCATGAAGGGTTAAACTCTGACAGAGAAGCAGAGAGGGAACAAGGTGACCTTGATTGATTTACGAGTGGCTGTACAATGTTGTCTTATCTGATAGCCACCGCTGCTCCAAACTGGTGTTGTTGATTGTGATTTTCCCCCTCTGTCCCCTGCGGGGCCGACAGGCTGGAAGAACAGACTCCCACAAGGTCCTGCTGCTTCCTGCTTCCTGCTTTATCATCACTGGCTGGATTATAGGGAAGATGGATGCTCTTTTTTAAACTGGAGATAGGTTTTCAGCATGTGTTCTTTTAAAACATAATTTAAGTCTTTGGCATTGATTGTGCAGTTTCTGGAGAAAAACAATTTGCGTTTCATAAGCCACAGACAGAATGTAATGTCCAGCCTATATTTACCTGTAGTTTCTTGATAATGGCAGAAGGAAACACAACAAGGCTCTCCTTCTGATTGACGTTTGTGCTGCTTGTCAATCTATTTGTGATTATTATGTTCACCTTGGCAGCCTTAAATCCACTCCCTCTGTCCAAATAGACAGACAGAATTATAATAATGCTGTGTTGTTGTTTAATAGGCTTGGGTTTATTAAAGATGTTGTTTACAATATTACATTCCATTCATTATGCAATGTCATCAATTTAAAATGTTGGACCAGTATTTCACATTTTAAAAGAAAAACTTGCAGAAATAATTTGACACGGTGAATTTCACACATTACGAGCAGTATTTATCAAATGATCCCACAAACTTTGAAATTGCCTTTCAGTGTCATAAATGAATACATGAGCAGCGCCAGTCTGATCTGTTTATCTGGTTCGAGTGGTCTTCTTTCCCCTCCACCCTCTGTCAGGTCTGGCAGGCCCTCTATTTCTCTATCCTCTCATCTCTGCGTTTCTTCATTTTGGCGTCTCGCTCTGTCACCCCTCCATGGTCACGTCTCCCCTTTCCCTGCTGCTCGGTCTAGAGATCGTCTCGCTTTCACTCGGTTTAATAACTGTTTTGTCACGCTCCGTGTCTTTGTCCTTCAGAGGAGTCGACTCTGATCAGGTTTCTTAAAGATCTGATGCGCACTTGTTTACATGATTTATGTGCGTACATGTCACCAAAGACACGGTGGTGTGCTTTAATCAGACTTTTATATGAATAGTTTGATGTACAACTATTTGCTTGATTGCTTAGAGTTAGAAACGAAGATCATTGGCGGTATCCCTGCACTAAATGTGAAGCTAAAACCAGCATGTGGTTAGCTTAGCTTAGCGCATAGAAAACTCTCACGCTGGTTGTTTCCTGTTTCCTGTGAATATTTGTTTCAACTATGACTGTAGTTGTTCCCTAACTGTACCCAAATCATTATGTGCTGGACTATGTCTTGGTTGGGAGCAGTGGCCTCTGACAGTCCCTACTGGTTTTAGTACATTTAAAAGTACAACAAAAATGATGTAAGACTTTGTGAACATTACACACAATGTGTTGTTGGTAGGAGGGTGCGCTCACTGCGTTCTTTCCCTATCCAAAAAGGTTAAACTATTCCTGTAATGGAAATGATGGAACCTCTGAAAGGCAAGTGAGGGAAAACAAATCTGGTGATCCATTTTCCCAGGTCTGATCTAAATTGTCTTCACTATGTTGACGACTTAAGAACAGGTTAAAAATGGTTTCTATAAGGATTTACCTTGCAAAAAAATAACTATCTTTCATAGTTCTTTATTTATAAAAACAAAACGTTATCATGTTTTCACAGATTAAAAGTTTTTTTTGACGGGTGTAAATAGGAAATATTCCTGAAAATGTTTTCCCCCCTGTTTAACCGATGAAAAAAAACAAGGTTCTTAGGAAGATTATCCAGGCAAAAGTGTTTTTTGCCCACCTGTTGTTAAGTCATAAACACTGGAAAGACATTTTTTAAATCAGAACGGATAGCCAGAATTTCTTTGTTTCGAGCTAGGGCATTTGCATTTATATGCATTTGGCAGATGGTAAACCACACCTTTTTTTATGAGCTGGAATTACATACCACTACTTCACACTTACAGCTACTGATTGTGAGTGAGTAGGCTATAAAAACCGATGGAGAGGGGTCCTTGAATCACTTTTTATCACATCTCCATGTACGTAAATGAAATCAGAGCAGGGAATCGGAGACATGAAATGAAAGGCAGAGTGAGAGAGGTCACAGTGTCCTATTTCTTAGAGAGATGGAGCTCTGACATTTCTGCACCGACTGGTAGGATCACCACCAGCTGCAGTCAGACCACATCCTAGGAGTCGCTGACCAGGTGATCAATGTATTTGCACATAAATGAATTTGTAGGGATGTGCAGAAAGAACAGACCACTGTGTCTTTCAGTTTCCGTGTGTGTGAAGCGTAGTGTGTGTGTTATTGCTGTTGAGGATTTGCTTCCTCTGCTGTATGCCTCCTGATGAGAGGTGACCTGACAGACTGTCCCATGTGACTTCTCCTGAGACGAGCAGCACTGCGCTCAACCCCAACCCCACCCACACTGCAAGACCCCATCAGAGCTTTAGAGCAAAAGGAAACACCCATTCACACACTTGTGATAGAAAGGTGGCTCCTGCCAACGCCACACAATAACTGTGTGCCCCAGGAGCCATTCAGGTGGAAAATTACACTGCCCAATCAATCGCTAATAGAAAATCTTTCATCTGGTAGCGGCCAATCATACGCTGGCTGTGTGCTTTCTCCTTGAAACAACGGCCAATCAGTTGCTCACAATGCTTGTCACTGTCATGTTGATCATCATCAAATGTAATTATTCTCCTGTTTCATGGACAGATATTGATGGCGTTGGTCGGTGACGGATGATGAGGGTAAATAATGCAAGCTAATCAGAAACTAACTGTGCAAGTAGAAAGGGGAATAAGCATTTTCCCAACCCAGGCAGTCTTTCAGTTTGTAATTAATTCAAATGTGATATTTTTTTCTTTCTGCAAGCATAATCCATTTCAGCGTTTTTCTCATTCATTTGAAAGGATTTGATCTAGGCTCATTTGAATAAACATTTTGCTCCATATTAGTCTGGGTAATGAAGTGGATCTCAGAAGAAAATGCTTTTGTTATGAGAGTGGAGAGTGCAGTGGCACTAAGGAGTCTCACACTGGTCACCTCAGTGGGAAAAATGCTGATTGGATAGCAGATTTAATATAATGCAGAATACTAATAACGATAATTTTTTTTGTGGACAAAGTTTGAATGTTAAGAGCGTTGGACCGAGTGTTTTTGGAAATGGGAAAGATGGGTTTTATACACAAAGCAGCAATAAAGCCAGTCCCCATGTTGGATTGTAGAATAGAAGTCTTGATAGAACAAAACATTTTAGAGAATGGGTTTTTATTTTGTTGTTGAGGTTAATAACGCTTTAATTTAACGGTCAATATTTAGCATTAGACAGCGTATCTGGCTGCTGTGGAAATTAATAATTGGGTAATACTATAAAATATTGGTCCCCTATGTCTTTAGTGTTAGGGTGTCCACATCCTTTTGGCCATATATTGCTTTATTTCGTAAAACTGGCATTCAAAAAGTAAACAGGAAAAACTTGTCAGCATCATTTAGGGACTACAGCTAAAACGATGTTACCAGCGTTGGCATATAGCACACACATGCTCAAAGAAGGGTTTTTGGAGTATTTCTGTGAGAGTGGAAGAAAAACTTCAGCTCAGAAACCATGATTAGATTTCTAACGTACTGAAGCGATAATTATCATGATTCTTATTCCACCCCTAAATACTCAACATGGCGTGCGTTTAGAAAAACAAACTATGCTTGGTTCCGACATTTCTAGAAATGAAAAAGCAATAAGCAAGAAGTTATTTTCATAGATGACTTCACGTCCCTATATTATTATATGAATGAATAAGGTCAATAAAGTGGTGCAACAGTCATTTCCTGCCTCCGGAAACTGCTGTGGTCTCGGATACTAAAATACATAAAGGTAGAGTGGGATTTAATGGGATTCATGACTTCTATTTCACTATCTTAATCGACTGTCTGTTCCTTCTATTTTGATTTACCAACTTTTATTATAAACAACTACAGTAGCCTATGGAGCCCATGCACAAAAACACACACAATAGCATGCACTCATATGATTTCAAGATTAGTCCCCAGGATTCAAGGATTGCTGGGTCTCAACACAAATGTCATTGTGAGTCGTAACCTTTACTGGAGCACATTATCTGCTCTGATATGGCGGGGCCGGGGCGGAGGACCAAACGCGATGCGATTGGATTTGAAAGGTCCCCGTCCAAGTCATGCCCAACGGCTATCTTGCCTCCACAGTTCAGCAACACCAGCAATATACGGCACGTCGCAAAGTTTCAAGGATCTCATCTGTCCCGCCATATCTGCATCTCCCTGCCCTCAATTAATCAGCGGTGGCTGGTGAATAGGAGCTGGGTGACTCTCGTTAGGAGAGGAGAGGATGTGGAGATATTTAGGAGTGTAATGCAAAAATACATATAAATAATAATTTAGATCGTTCACCTGCAAAACGTTTTTCAACAGCTTATTAGTTGAGCTTCATCAAATGAACTGTTTCTCTTTGGTTGTTAAATTCAACATGTATATTTTTGTACTTTCTTGTTTATTTCTGGTCTTTGAATTTTTATTGTACAATGCCATGTCTTTTTATGCTGCTGCAACGCAAACATTTCCAAAATTGGGATCAATAAAGTACTATCTTATCTTATGGTTAACAGATAATAGAGTATTATTAATAATTCATGAACAAAGCCTGTATACACATTCTTAGAGTAATTTAGTTGAAGTCGAAATGTAACTACCGTACTCACTTGAATGAGCACTCAAGTTACTCAATTCACGTAGTGAGTAGTACCAGTTTAGCTAAATTATCCAGATAATATGTAGGTTTGTCACAAACATATGATATCCTCTAATGATAAATGTATACATTTGATAGTCATTTGAATTTATAAAATGTTGACATGTAGCAAATACTAAGTTGACTATGAAAATACGATGACCAAATAATTTGTAACACTTCTCCGCTGCTCTATTAATGAACTAACATAGTAGGAGAGTAGGATTTGACAGAGGATGTGTGGGAAAACGATGGTTGTGGTATTAGAAGTAGACGTGTTTGCAGAAGTGCTGACATGTGTATCTGTCACTACAGGTCATGAGTTATGAAACTGACAATGCCTGCTCCTTGTTTAAACCACAACGATCAGAGGCTGCCCTTGATGTCAGCTTGGATAGACAAATTGAAAATCTGCATTACATAAACAATGTTGCAGTAAAAAAGGCAGCTGCTGGGATGCTTCCTTATATTTTAATGATTAAAGGTAGAATAAAGAAGGGGAAAAGTTTACTCAGCATTACAAAATAATGTATTTATACTCTTGTTCTTTTCATCATTGTGATTTCCTTTTCAACTTTATTGTTCTCAAGGGAGAATTTGTCTTGCAGCCAGGTAATACACAGAACACACACAGAATTAAATATAATAAGATACGTAAAACCATACCATAACACGAGTCAACGGTACTTAGTAGTAGCACTTGAAATGTTTGGCTCTAT